TGGAGAGAGTTTATGTTTCTCCTTGGTTGATTGGGTTCTCCGGAGCATGAGATCTCCGACCTCGAGGATCCTCCCCCTGATTTTTCTTTCATGGTACCTGCGGAGAGTTTGGTGGTAGCGAGCGGAGTGGATGATGGTTGTCTCTCGAGCCTCCTCGAGCAGGTCGACCGCGTATTGTTGAGCCTCCATGGCTCGGTCTCGGTCGAAGGCCTTCACTCTTGGGGCGCCGTGATCAAGGTCAGAGGGCAATACTGCTTCAGCTCCATTTCCCGGTCTTCTTTTTAACAAGAACAGGATTGGCAAGCCAGTCAAAGTGGTGTACCTCCTTGATGAATACGGCTGCCAGGAGTTTGGCGACCTCCTCGCCTATGGCCCTACACCTCTCGTTGTCAAAGCGACATAATCGTTGCTTGGTGGGCTTTGAGCCTAGGACGAGGCATAATGCATGCTTGGTGACCTCTCGTGGTATGCTTGGCATGTCAGAAGGTTTCCATGCGAAGACATCACGATTGGCGCATAGAAAGTCGGCGAGCTCGCATTCCTATTTGGACGGGAGCTGGGTCCCGATCCGCACCGTCTTGATTGGGTCGGTGTGGTCGATCCCCACTGCCTTAGTTTCCTCGAGTGGGCGGATGTTAGTCGAGGAGGTTGGCTTGTTGCAGTGTGGGACTACTAGGGTCGATGGTTCTTCGAGCTAAGGGAGCTCGGCTGAGTTGATGATGGCTGTGGCAAGCTCATAATGCTCGCAGTCGTATGTGTAGGCGTGCGAAAAGGTGCTACCCACAGTGATGACGTCGTTCGGTCCTAGCATCTTCAACTTGAGGTAGGTGTAGTTGGGGATGGCCATGAACTTAGCATAGCATGGCCACCCCATGATGGCATGGTAGGACCCAAGGAAGTCCACCACCTCGAATGTGAGGACCTCCGAGTGGAAGTTGGCTCGGTCACCAAATGTGACGGGCAGGTCGATCTGCCCGAGCGGGTATGCCAGCATCCCTGGGATCACGCCGTGGAAGGGAGAGCTCACTGGATGGAGCTCTGATCGGGGGATGCGCATGGTGTCGAGGGTGTCGACGTAGAGGATGTTGAGGCCGCTGCCTCCGTCCATCAGCACCTTGGTGAGGCGCTTCTTGCGAACAATGGGGTCGACAATGAGCGGATAGCGACCCGGTCTAGCAACGTGGGAAGGATGGTCCCTCTGATCAAAAGTGATCGGAGATTCTGACCAACTAAGGAAGGAGGGGACGGCCGTTTCGGCGACGCATGCCTCTCTATAGCGCACTTTGTGCTGGCGCTTGGAGTAGATGGCATCGGATCCCCCGAAGATCATGAGGCATTCCTTGGGATCGAGGAAACTGTCCCCATCCTTGCCCGCCACACGTCCTTTCTTCGCCGCTGTCTCCTTGCCCTTTCCTTCATTCGGTCCGCCGGCTTGGCGCAGAAAGCGCTTGAGGAGTTCATAGTCCTTGTAGAGGTGTTTGACGGGGTAGGCGTGGTTGGTGCATGGACTCTCCATGAGCTTGTTAAAGTGGCCGGGCTATCCCTGCTGGGGCTGCTTGCCCGCACAATCGGCCGTGGCGACCAAAGCAGAGTTGGCCAGTCAACGCCGATCCTTCTTGTTCTTTTTGCCCCTTTGCATGGAGGGGCCCTCATCTTGGTCCTTGCGCTTGGCCTTGCCCTTGTCCTGGCCTCCACCAAAGACCGCTCTGACCGCCTCCTCGCTGGAGGCGTGGTTCGTGGCGACATCGACCAGGTCGCAGGTGGTACGGGGCTTCAAGCAGCCAAGCTTGTGGATCAAGGACTCACATGTTGTCCTAGAGAGGAATGCGTTGATGACGTCCACATCGACAATATCAGGAAGGGAGTTGCATCGTTTTGAGATCCTATGGATGTAATCCTATAGGGACTCGTTGGTCTTCTGCTGGCAGCTCTTGAGGTCCTAGGAATTCCTAGGGCGGACATACATCCCCTAGAAATTCTTGATGAAGATCCTCTTGAGATCCACCCAGTCGCGGATGCTGTCATGCGGGAGGAATTCGAGCCATGCTCGAACCTGGTCCCCCACATAGATGGGGAGGTTTTGAATGATGAAGTGGTCATTATCCACTCCTCTGGCTCGGCCGGCGAGCCAGAAGTCTTCGAGACATATACCGGGATTCATTTCCCCGGTGTATTTGGCGATGTTGGTAGGTGGTCGGAAGTGCTATGGGAACGACGCTTTCTGGATGCGACGGCCAAAGGCCCGTGGTCCTAGGCCATCCGGGCTTGGACTCCGGTCGTCTGGTCGGCGACCATGCCTACGATGCGTTTCCCCGCTCCCCTCGATGGTCTGGCTAGGGCCCGTGCTGCCTGCTCTCATCGCCCTCGATGGACGTCATCATCACGCCAGGCTTGACGCCGATGGTTGATGATGCTGCGAGCATCTCGGTTCGGCCCGAGGCATTTGCGCACAGGTGGTCGGTGTGGAGCGATCGCCGGGTCAGGCCATGGTGCAGCTACGGCCTCCTGTTCCACACCCGGTGACTGTAGTGGTGAGCGGATGGAGCGATTCGACTGGTGCGCCCGCATTCTCCCGGTGGGGATAGAGGCCGCGAGTCGGTGTCGCAACATGGAGCTCTCCGCCTGTTGAACGGCGGCGGTTTCCACCAGCGCTCGGAGGTTCTGGTGGACCGCCTGCTCCTTGGGGTCGACAGGCTCTGGAAGGCCACGTAGAAGCATCGCCACAGCGGTGATGTTCTGGCCAACCCGAGTGAACTATGGGGGATCGTTCCCCCCGCCCATGATGTTGCACTAGACATATTGGGCGCGACCCCGGGCACCGCTCGTCGGGTTAGACGCATAGGGCGCAGCGTGCTGCACCGAGCGCGCTGGCGCAGGTGGCGGCTGGCTCTGCCGCCTTTGTCGTAGCTCCTCGCCATGCTCCTACGCACGCACGAGGGCCTCCGCATGAGGGTCTAGAGGGGTGTGAGTCTGTAGGAACTCTGCTACCACCAGTGTTTGTCCCAGAGCGTCCGCCATAGCGCACTCCTGGGGCAGAGGGTGGGTAGATGCCACGACGTCGCCGATGCTGGAGCCGTCGCTTTCAACCTTGTCATCAATGAGGTTGTGGAAAGAGGTGGGCCATCCGATGACCAAAAGCGTGAACCTACGACATCTTCCCCACAGACGGTGCCAACTGTCGGTGCAAAAAGTGACCAACAAGTAAATATTTATCATTTTGCCGTACGTTGTGATTGGATGTGGCCTAGCACTCAATGACATAGGGTTTATACTGGTTCAGGCAACGTGCCCTACGCCCAATTTGAGTCAATCGGTGACTTTATTCCTGAGCCCAGGTGCTCGAAGTTTGCTGTGGGGTTACAAACGATTGGGAATAAGATGGGGGTGTCAGAGGTCCGATCGGACTCCGGACTGAAGAGCCAAGAGTGACGGAAGCTCATACGTGCGCTAAGTATTGGAACATATGCTCTATGTAGCTTTAGAGTTCTAGAGCCGTGGAGCTGTTCGAGTGCTTAGAATGTCTAAAGCTAGCAGAGAGTGAGTCGGAATGAACCGTCTGTTGTTGTCTGTCGTTTATCGTGAGAGAGCGTATCCCCTTTTATAGGTGAAGGGGATGGCCTTACAAGAGAGTGTGTGTGTGGGTGCTACCTAGTCTTTTTGCCCATGCCGTCGGGTACAAGATTTGTCGGCGCCTATAATACTGTTGATGGCCAGATGCATGTGGTAGGTTCCATCGTGCTCTTCTGGTATGGCAAATGTCAGCGCCCACCATACTATAGGACAAATGTCGGCGCCCACAACATTGTCCGTGTTCTGACATGTCTGGAAGGTTACAGAGCACCCTTCTGACATGGTCTGGTGGTACTGTCTTGTAGGTGTGCAGGGTACGGTCCTCAGTATTGCGGTTGACTTGAGCGCCTTACCTTATCTGCTCTGCCTGATTTCTTGGGTCCTCACTGAGTGGGCGTCCCCGACCGGTCGTTCCTAGTCGGCTCCGACCGTGCCGGTCGGAGAAGAACCATAAGCAGAGGTTCGGTGTATTCCTGGTCAGAGAAGCGGGTCGGAGTCGGAAGCGAGCGTCGTCCCCTCCTTGGCTAGGCCTTCCGGTCGGAGAAGCGGGTCAGAGTCGGAAGCGAGCGTCATCCCCTCCTTGGCCAGGCCTTCCGGTCGGAGGGACTAGACCGCTCTTCCGGCCTGTCATTAGGTATCTGGGCCGGCCCAGGAGTTGTGCATTGTTGCAACGTCGTCTGCTGGGCCGAGTTTTTTGCTGGGAAAGAGGCCTATTGAGGACCCTGGGTTTATTAACTCGACAAGAGGGTTACGTAGAGTTTTTCCAATAAAAAAATCATCGCTCAAGTCGTGTTTCTATCTCCCTGTCGCCTCTCCGCCTCGCTCGTGAAATTTTTTGATATTTAACCCCGAATTCGCACGCCCCTCAACATTTAACCCCCAATTCGCAGACCTTTTGAAATATAACCCTGGACGCGCAGATTGTTTTGATATTTAGGATTTTCGTGGTTTTATCTCTTTTAGTAATTCTAGGAGCCTCTTTTCACTGTTTGTGGTACCAAAAAAAGGACTAGAATACCCCTCCCTCTAATCTGGTGGCCTCCCTCCTCTATCACTGACGCGCGGGCCCCACATGTCATCTTCTTCTTCCTCCTTTTGCCATCTTCCATTGCTGAGCAGCATCCGCCGTCGTCGATGGCGAGCAGCAGCAGCAGGGGGAGCTGCGCTGTCGCAGCCTGCTTCAACCGCCAGCCATTGGAGCGCGTAGGGGCGACCTGCAGTTGGCGACGCAGTGGCCCCAAACCCTAGCGCAAGCTGACGGGGCGGACGAGTCAATCTTTATATAAGGCTGCCCCCTCCTCTCCTTTGCTTCTTCATCACAACCACTGATGACATATATGATCAATCGTCCGAAGAAGCCAGGTAGCAGCTAGCTAGCTAGATAGACATAAACCATCTCACTCATTCTCTGTAGAAGTGTAGGAGAGGCCATGGATACCACCAGCAAGAAAGCCTATGGGGTTGCCATCATCATACAGCTCATCAACACCGGCATGTACGTCGTCTCCAAGGCGGCATTCAACCATGGCATGAGCACCTACGTCTTCATCTTTTACCGCCAGGCGGCGGCCACTGCGCTGTTGCTGCCCCTAGCCGTTGTTCTTGAAAGGTAACTGAAAATAATTGACTTTTACTTTAATAATTGAGATGGCTCTAATAATATACTCCGTATATATGATCGCTGAAATAACCGATTGATCCATATATGCTGTGAATGTGATTGATTCGATCGCAGGACAAATGCACCACCCATGTCATTCAGGTTGTTTCTGAAGCTGTTCTTCTATGCATTGCTTGGGTATGTAACTAACACTACATCCATCAGTGGTACTTTCCTGTACTGAATACAACTACTGATGATTTATTAACACCATATATATGACATGTGGTGTCTCTGATGAACTTGTAGCAACACATTGAGCATGAATCTGTACGACATAAGCCTCAAATACACCTCTGCAACCGTGGCATCGGCAACAAGCAACTCTGTCCCTGTGGTCACCTTCTTTCTGGCTGTCCTGTTAAGGTAATAAGCCCGCACCCAGCCTTATTACCAAATTAATTCAGTTACCGTGAGTCCCTGACCTTATATATCGCTACTACTAACTGTCACTCTTTTTTTTTGTCTCTACTAATTAACCTACTAGCTTTCACATCAGCACTACTATAGTACTATTATATTAAACATGCACCTTCCTTAGATTAATCTATAATTAACTGTACTTATCATTGTTGTCTTGGTGGAAATATAAAGCAGAAAAAGAACCCATCATTAGCAAACCTGAACATTATATATATGCAGGCTGGAAGTGGTTCGGCTGAGAAGCCCGTCAGGCATGGCGAAGGCGGCGGGCGTGGTGCTGTGCCTAGCCGGGGTCCTGACCATCGCCCTGTACACGGGTCCCTCGATGAGCCCGGTGAACCACCACCGCGCCTTCGCCGCGCACCATCCACATCCTCAAGCTCATGCTGATGGCGGCGGCAAGGGGACATGGATCAAGGGCACGTTCCTGATGCTGCTGTCCAACACGACGTGGTCCCTCTGGATCGTGCTGCAGGCGTCGCTGCTCAAGGAGTACCCCAACAAGCTGCTGTCCACGCTGGTGCAGTGCGGCCTCAGCACCGCCCAGTCCTTCCTCCTCGCCGTCGCCGTCGCCGTCGAGCGCGACCCCGCCGCCTGGAAGCTGCAGCTCGACGTCGGCCTCCTCGCCGCCGCCTACTCCGTGAGTAGAAGTATTATGAGCAATGACGACGACGAAGAGATTATCAAGCAGATAAACAACTAACGTCGACGACAATGCGTACATATGCAGGGTCTTGTGGTGACGGGCGTGTCGTTCTACCTGCAGGCGTGGTGCATCGAGAAGCGCGGGCCCGTGTTCCTGGCCATGTCCAACCCGCTGGGCCTCCTGCTCACCATCTTCTTCTCCTCCTTCTTCCTCGGCGAGATCGTGCGCCTCGGCAGCCTCCTCGGCAGCGGCCTCCTCGTCGGAGGGCTCTACAGCGTCCTCTGGGGCAAGAGCAAGGACCACCTCCACCAGAAGCAGAGTCATCAGGAGCAGGCACCGAAAACTCTGGCCACCGCCAGCAACGATGGCCATGACGACGACGAGGAGAAGCAGCAGCCGGCAAAGGCGGTGCAGAACACGGGCGGCGGTGACGAGAAGCAGCTCAAGGACTTGTTTGCAATGGAGGCATCGCCATTGCGCCATCAGTCCGGATGAGCAAATCGTCTAAGCTGTTGAGGCGTATACATATATAGCAAGGACTTTCTGTACGTACATGTGTATGTATGTACTACGTACGTGCTACGTGCCTATGTCTATATTTCTCATGGCCCAATAGTCTTTTGGCCTGCTTACTCAAGAAGCCAGCAAAGCACAGGCCATTAGCCCATTGCCCACTCACGTACGCAGCAAGAGAGGAACGCACGGAGCGACTTCGCGTCAAGGCGTACTTGCGTCTCCGCCTCTGCTACTGAGTGAATTTCTTGTGTCAAATACAGTCCACTTGTTCTTGTTTTTTAAATCCCCCCGCCTATAATTTGGTTCACCCTCCGCCACTGGCTACATGTAATACATATTGCTCTGTTGGGCCAAAATTGTAGCAGCTACCTAGCCCAAGGGCCGAGCACCCAGCCCAGCTGAGAGCTATTGATGCGGCGTCCCTTGGCCCAGCCTGTTTCCAATCCAATGAACAAAGAGGAGAGAGTGGATTGTTCTATCTAATTAACCTCCTCCCCTCAAAAAAAAAAAAAAATCTAATTAACCTCCATGATGTTTCACAACAACAACAACAACAACAACAATAAAAAACAAAGACTCTAACCTCCACCATCTCTTGCACTAGTTTGCACTATCTTAATTCTAGTTACTCCATCATCCATATATGCATCCACAATCTGATTTGTCATCCCCACCTTAAACTTTTTCCCATCGGTTGTTCTCCACCACGCCCACTTTCATCTGGCCTTTAGTGCCCATCAACCATCTCCACACTAGATAAGCTAACTCGCCATAGCCATACCTCAATGGAGATGGAGAAAGCCAGATACAGGATTGGCAAAATGGAGAATACGTGGTCACCCAGTGGCGGAGGGAGGGAGGGGCAGGGGGGACCAAAGCCGCCCTAAGCTAATGTAGTTTCCATTGAAAAAAAATCAGATTAAGCCAATTTAACAAAATTTGTACCGTCCCCCTAACAACAGGAAATTCATACTTCTGACTCTGTCGCTGATGGTCGGAGTCTACTAGAGATAGAGAAGCCAAAGTAAGAGGGGAAGATTGAGTATTTGGGTCTGCGGAACTTATGCATAGACATAAATAAAATTTCTTTCTAAGTTGCCTCTCCCTTTATAAGTAAAAACTCATTACCCATAACAAAGGTTTTACTTCATTTATTTCTGCATCAAACTATGTCATTAAGTGGTACCCACTAAGCCGATGTTTGCACAGTATCAAGTGAATAACATTAACATGGTTGGCACCTTGCATTGCTAAATTCCTTGAGCGCCATGTCAACAATGTCCGGCCCCTGTTTTGTTTTTATATGAAACTTTGATGACACAAGGTGGGGATGCCCCTAGCCCTTATTTACTATATATTAATTATAAAAATAAAAAAATACAAAAGTTGATGTTACAAAAGGCTTTTGTAGCCGATGTTTTATCATGGGAGGAGAAATATGATCTTTTTGCTTGATGGATAAACAAAGAAAGTTGGTGTCAAGTCCCTGTTTTAGTGGCCAGAGCTATTCATAAAGATCTTCATAGTGGTAGGATACGTAAAGATCTTTATAGTGGTAGGATACGTAAAGTCCCTGTTATAGCTAGCACAACATTAATAACGCTCAAGACCTGTCGGCTCAACCTCTTACAGATATTCATAGTGGTAGGATACGTAAAGATCTTTAGAGTGAGTTTTAGAAAAAAAAACACTAATTATGTTTTTTAGAATGAAAAAATAGATTAATAAAGCAGGGAGCTAGAATATTGGAGTAAACATCGTGGCAGCAGGTGTACGGTACGTGTTGAAATTGGGAGCACCCTGCCACCCTACGACCTACATACAGTACCCTCCAAGTGTTGAGTGTTAGGCAAGCAAAGCATGAATGATCGATGCATAATAATATTAATATAAATATATAATGGGTATGTACATATGCCACCAACAAGTGCTAGCTGTTTTAGTTTGACTTAGGGGCCGGACGTACTCAATCAGTCAGAAGGGCATCGTATTGATATCTTGATTGCTATTTGGAATCATTAGTGTTTACTCAATTAATGTGGATGACAAGATGTTTCCCGTATTTATTAGAACGTGGGTCCTTGTGAGAATTAACGCGAAGATTTTTTAGTAGGGCATGGTTAGCATCCGGACGTCCAGACGAACGCACACGTGGACGTCCAAGCAGCCTGCCTCCGTTTGCTCGCTCTGACTCGCACGCACCCCGACCTCGCCGCTCCTCATGTCTGGATAGTCGCGCAGCCCGCTCCTGTCTGCCTCGCCCCCACCTCGCACGTGCACCCTACCCCTGTCACTGTGCCCCACTCCTTCCCCCTGACCCCCTCCTCTCTCTCCGTGTCGGCGGGACCTGGGAGCTGGCCCCCAGCTCGCTACGCCCCCATCGGCTGGCCCTAGCTCGCCGCGCCCCATCCCCTGGCACCCGTTCTGTGCGTCCATCACTCACCGTGCCCACGTGAAACACTTGCAACATAAAACACTTAGATGCAACATGCGTCTGACATAGATCAAACAATTTAAACATATTATTGCAACATATGTGTGAAATATATGCAACATCCAGATAAAAGCACGTGTAACATGTGTGTGAAACATATGCAACATCGAGATAAAACACTTGCAACACGTGTGTGAAACATATGCAACATCCAGATAAAACACTTGCTGCAACATATGTATGAAACAGATGAAACATTTCGAACAAACGCTTGCAACATACCTCTGAAAACACTTGCAAAATATGCAACATCCAGATCTACTTTTTTTTTTTGCAACATCCGTATGTAACAACTACTGAATTACAACATACTTCTGAAACATCTGAAACATAGGGGAGGGAAAGCCCAAGGTCAGTCGATTCCGGTCGTTGGGGTGGGATCCGACGACGATCGGCGGTGTGCGAGCACCACCACCACCACTAGCAGCACCGGCCTTGGCTGGGCCAGGCGGGGGGTGCGCACTACGGAAGGGAGCGAGCGGCATAGTTGAAGCGAGGAGCGAGGTGCCGGTAGGGTGGGGTGCGTGACATGCGGGAACTAGGAGCGAGCGAGCAAGCGATGCAGGGTGGGGCATGCGGTGGGAGAAGACGGCGACAGCAAGCGAGGAGCGGGGCGTGCGGCATCAAATAGGACGAACGTCCCTGACCAAGTATTATCATTTGAAAATATAATAATAGTAAGATTAGCTTCAAACATATAAGGGCGTCTCCATCAAGGAGCGACGTAGCTAGATAGATCTGACGTGGAGGCAAGAGAAATAAAAAAAAACGTTCTCGCTAGAGATTCCGTCGTCGCTAGTCTCGCACACCAAACGAGACGATGCGGACAGAAATTTCCCATCCGTGCCTAGTATCCAGGTGAGAGAGAATAGCAGTTACAAAGATCGAGTAATTAAAAATGTTTAGTTGTAGGGCCCACACAATGACCTGGCTTGTAAATCGCTGGCTGCCGGCTATTACCTGGAGGACGCCCTAATATACGAAGTTGGACTCAAAGCCGTGAAATAGAGCAGGAGTGTTATGCGTGTTCTATTCGCTTAAGCTGAAATCTAGTTTATGCTGAAATGGTACGAGAGAAAAATATTATTTTATAACTAAAAAGTAGCTCGAGGTAACCAGGCCAGACAGGATTATTTTTCAGCTCTTAACTGCAGGACCACGACCACTCTTGAGTAACCCCGTGACAAGTGTCCTAAGGTACACGTACTCTTCATTACTCTTTTTATTGGTTGGAACTACAAAAGACCGTCATTTCTAAGAATTATTGGTTGGAACTACAAAAGACCGCCATTTCTAAGAAAGTTAGTAAGGGCAGTTCTAATGGTGTATTGATGATGGTTTCTATCTTCATTAAATGATTTGCCACGTAGACAAAATGCTGATATGGCAACGTAATTAATGAAGAAAGAGAACAAAAATCTTAGAAATGATTTACTCGTGAAGAAATCAAGTCTTCTCTTGACCCAATGCACCAAGAAACCATGAAATCGTCATTGGAGAGAAACCACCAGTTTTTAGAGGACTTATGCCGCACTCTCATTGGAGGAGGAAGATAGAGTTGGGAGAGATAAAGAGAAAATAATTATTACTCATAAAAACTATAGGTTGGAAAGCATTATTTTTTTAATACGGTATCCTATATTTATAGAAACTACTCGTTTTTTTATTAGGACTACCCTGACTTGTTCTCTGCCCGTTAGTTTTATACTCTCGAGTAGGATTATTATTCAGCCCTTAACTGCGGGACCACTCTTGAGTAGTTTGCATGCCGGTTTTGTCCCCATCACTACTGATTTGATGTTTAATCTCTCACGTGGTTTACGTGGTTCTGATTCATCTCGCTCCATGCATGCCTGAATCATCATTGTAGCTAGCTGTAGCTTCTTGAAGCAGCTGCGCTTGAATTGCATGCCGAATTGAAGCTCTAGACAGGTCCGGTACGGTCATTCCGAAATATGAGGAAGACGACGACACGTCCACAACACGCATCACTCACCTATATGAACACATATACGTAAACCCTATCCCTATGAGTACCTTCGAAGGACTGAGCCAGCAGATCTCGAGATTCACGAAGTCACCATGGGCACCTCGCTGTCGATAGGGACTACGTCGCCTACCACTGAAAGTATAGCGCTGATAAATCCTAAAATAAATCCAGAAAAATACGAGCACCCGTGCTAAGTCGAGGACTTAAACCCGGGTGGACAGATTTTACCACAAGGAGCCTAACTGTCGGGTTCATAAACCCAGGGTCCCCAATGGACCCGCTTCCCTATAAAACTCGACTCAGATACACAATAACAGGCCAAGGCCACTGTCGATGTTTTATCACCGATAGCCTGTCACGGGGGTACCCGGGACAGTTGTTCGGACTTCGGCGAATAGTAGAACTCGGCGGTTACGCAAAGAGACTTACGATTTATACTGGTTCAGGCCCTCGACTTGGTCGAGTAATAACCTTACGTCCAGTTCGGCGTTAGCC